TCCTGTAACCACACAGGCCTGTTTGCTCCCCAGGGACCTGTGGGGCATCCTGCCAAGGGTTTGCATGCCTGCTGGGCTGGGTCACCCAAGCAGCCTCCGTCTGTGGCTGGAAGGGGGTGGGCGTGGCCTGCCTGTGGTGCAGGGACCTGTGGCCAGAGGCTGAGTGGGCACACAGGCACACGTGCCCTCCACCCAGCGTGTCCTAGACCACTAAGGATGGGGTGATGTCCAGCCAGGCCACTGCTGCACTTGTGGCATTGAGCAAGTTGCTGAGTCTCCAAGCATCAGTTTCCTCAGGTGGAGCTCAGCACCTGCCTCCTGGGCGGCTGCCCAGTGCTAGTGCTTGCTGCTGCTATTAGTCACCTTGTGGATGCACTTGACAGGGCACTCAGCCACAAGACTTCAGCGGGGCTGGACATCTGCATTCTGGCGACCACAGTCATGGCCTTGCTGTGAGCCCTGGGGCATGTCACTCTCCTGTCCCACCTCAGTTTCCCCATGTGAAGTGAGGGTGTGGGCTGTGGTGGCTCAAAGGCCTCTCTCCGAAGGGGTGCTGGAGCCCCCTGGCAGCACACCGGGGAATGTCTAATATCTTGCTGCGTTGGTTAAAAATTGACTTAACTTTGCTCCCAGCCCTCTCTAGGTCATTCCTCCCTCCTGTGGGGCTGGAAGGTGGGAATGGGGCCACACTGGGCCCCAGCATCTGGGTCTCCCCTGCCCACAGCCACCCTCCCGCCAGCAGTGGTACCTTGCCCCTGTGTGGGTGGGCCCATGGGACACTCCACAAGGCCTTTTCATTCCCGCTTTCCCCGCCAACTTAGATTATCTGAAATAGAGGCCCTGGACCTGGAGTCTTTGCCGAGACCACCTTGCGGGTGGGAATGTGGTTAACAGGCTGTGCTGGGGTGGGGGGTGAGGAACTCGGTTGGGGGCACTGGAGGCGGAACCCTTACCAGCACAGTGGGCTGCCTGGCTGACCATGAGTGGCTGGAGACACCTCTCTCCCCCTCAAACAGTGAGGGTAGAGGAGACGAGGGGAGCATCCTGGTGGAACAGGAGTGCCCAGTCCTCCATCATGTTCTACCCTTGGTGGTGCTCATATCACTGTCTGCTTTCATTCAGTGCTGACAACTCTGGGGGCGGAGGGTAGATTTTATTACCCCGATCTTACATATGAGGAAGTGGTGACCTTGTAGGAGACTGGCCTTAATCTGATTTTTAAGCTTATACTGTTATCAAAATCTGAATTTAGTAAGTACTCCCTGAGCATGTACCCTGAGCATGTTCATGTATATTGAGCACGATCAACAATTCCCTAATGTCATCTAACACCCAGTCCATAGTCCCCTAGTGTCTAAAATAATATATTCCACGTGGGTTATAGACTCAGAATAGAAAGGCCAAGTGCATTGGCTGAATCTGCTTGATGCGTCCCTTAAGTCTTTCTTAGTCACAGTACCTCCTCCCACATTTCCCCTCCGTTTATGATTGAAGACCTGCTGGATACTTGATGTTGGAGTTTCCCAAACTCTGGTTTTCACTGGTTGCATCTTTGTAGTGTTAACAGACTCCTTTGTCCCCTGCATTTCTGTAACCTGAGGTGAGATATGGATGCTTGATGGGATTCATTGGAGGAAACTTTGGATGTAAAGGGATCGCTCTGGTTGCTGTGTTGAGAATAGGCTGCAGGCTCAGGGTAGAAGCGGGGAGACCTGTCAGGAGGCTACCTCAAGTGGGTCGTGGGAGGAAGAAGCTGGGTGAGGGGGCAGGAAAGGAGTTCGATGTGGACTGTGGAATTGAAGTTGCCATTGGATGTCTGCGCGGAGGTGCCAAGAGGGAAGCTGAGTCTAGAGTGGATTTGGGAGGGCCACAGAGGTTGGAGATACAGTTTGGGAGTAATTTGAATATTGGTGTTTTTTTTAAGGTTGATGAAGAAGGGAGGAGGGTGGGACCTGATCCCTGGGCACTGCACTCAGGGAGAGGAGGAGGAAGCAGGACCAGGGACTCAGAGCAGTAGAGGGCAAGGTCAGAGAAAGGGCAGGTGGGGGAGGACCTGGGGCTGAAGGCTGCCATAGAGTCCAGGAGGAGGCCGAGGCAGTCAGAGGCCGAGGCAGTCAGAGTTCGGCTAGTTGCAGTCCTCAGACTTCTCCCACCCTCTCACCTAGAGCCAACCATTTTCAACTTGTCTGCTGATGCTTTGGTTTGTATTTCTAGGTCTGAATAGCATACGTGAACTGTTACTTCTTGGTTTTCCCATTTCATTCCGTCCCCCACTCCCACTACACATGTGCTCTTACCATCTGCTATCCTCCCTAGATCTTTCTCTCATAACTTCGGTTACATCAGTGTTGAGTATTTACATTATGATGTCTATGTATTTAGAGATGAGCCTTGTGGTAAATCGTGGGGGTTTTTTTCTGCCCAACTTTTTGTTTTCCTTGAAGTTATTAATTGCCTTCTTTTTTCATTTGCTTAGTTGTCTATGTACTAACACTAAGTCCTGAACTCTCCACCAGGTCATCTAAATCTCTCAGTGTGTTCAGTCACTTTGATCCACTTGAGGGTGTCTCTCCTGTACTTTTGCCCTGCTTGAGGCTCCCTCCCCTCAGTGACCCACTCTGCCCGGCACACAGCTGCCATCCTGGGGATGCCCCTCAACTCTCCTAGGTTTGATCAGTGTTTATTGTAGTCCATGTTTTCCTCTTTCTTGGTCTCCACACTCATTTTAGTAGCATGCATGTGGGGAGACACACACACACACACGTACGTGCTGGGTGGTTCCCATGCATTCTTTTAGGGGAAGTGCCTGAGATTTGGACTGGGGTGGAGGGGGGAAGGGAAGTAGAGATGGGGAAGGGGCGGAGGGCCAGGAGTGTTCGTCTTCCTGAATGGAGGGTGATGCTGTGTGGGTGCTGGGCCCTGCGTTAGAAAGTCAGGTTCCCCCACCATCCCACCTGCAGGACGGCCTGGTCAGAGCCAATGTTTATTGGCTGGATGAGCCCAGCCCCTTCCAGGCCTCCACCTCCACTCCTGACTCCACCGGCCTGCTCCAGTTCCCTTGGGGACAGGGACAGGGTGAAGGAGGACAAGGGCAGAGGGAGTCAGGATGGGGAGGGCTGTCAGGAGGCCCCTAGGTGAGCGGCACACCCGCAGGGCAGTCACCAACCCTGGGCTCAGCTGGCGTGAAGGAGAACTTGTGCCCTCCCTGTGCTAGGCTTCTGGGCATGGAGGGCTGGCAGGGGTGCCCCTGTGGGCAGGGGCTCAAAGGAGCACGAGGGCCTAGGGAGCCTGGGATGAGAAGTGACCTGAAGCCTCAAGGTCAGGGGTCTCAGGTCCTCAAAGGTGCAGCCAGCCACACTGCCTCCCTGCCGTGCAGTCCCCACCAATCATAGTAACATCGCATCCCACCTGGGCCGCAGGAGAGCCCAATCCACCTTAACTCACCTCCTGCCCCTCCCTCCCTGCCATATCCGGTGGCGGTGGCACGAGGTGAGGGCCCCCTCAGGAGGGCCCCAGTGCCTGGCAGGTGAGTAATTCTATTTACCTTTCCTGAGAGGCCTCCTGTCCTTTCATTTGCTGCAATTAGCTCAGGTCTGCCTAAGCAGCTCCAGCCCACGTGGCCGGGCAGGGACTGTGGACACCCCCTCCCCCAGGTCCTGGCAGTCACCCCCCACCAGCTCCTAGGAGCAGGGCCGCCTGGCTGGCCCATTTGGCTTGTGCTCTTGGCTTCTGTGGCCCCTTCCTCTTTTGACAGTGCCCCTGCTCCTACCCCCTTCCACGCACACCCCCCACCAGGCATCATGGCACTGGACACAAGGGGCGCTCTTGAGGGGTGACTACAGTCCTCGCACTGCTCCTGCACTTGTCTCCACCCTCTGCATCAGATGCACCGCGCCCCGGGGGGCAGCTTGGACTCAGGGCGCACCACCTGGCTCTTCCTGCGAGTGCCAGCCCTCATTGACTGCCAAGCAGGGTGCCCACCCACCAGGCAATGGGCAGCACCCTCACACACAGGTGGCCTTCGCATGCGCTTGGAGCAGCAAGGACTGCAGTGATTCTCTGTGAAGTGGCTATGTTGGGCTGTGCCGCAGTGTTTGGAAAACTGTGCTGCGCCTGCACTTGGACAGTCTCAATTTTGGGGGTCCATCTCTCCCCGCTTCAGTCGGCTACATGGGCTGCGGATTGCTGGGGTGGCTAGAGTTGGGATGAAGCAGAGGCCAGTAGAGGACATCCAGTTCTGGATTATCTAGTTCTGGATTATCCAGTAATGCCCTTGCTGGGCCTGAGTCCAGCCCCGGCTTCGGCTCTAGCAGGGAGCCAGGGATGTTCATGTGGGGTTGGTAGAAGGACTGTGATGTAGGTGGCTTCCCTCGGCCATTGACGCCCTTCATGCCCCTCTGCGGGCGAATGGTGACACTCCGGGGATTGAGGGGCCAAGACTGAGTGGGGCCCGTCCACTCTGGCCCAGGGTGGGGGTGAGCCACCCCCCCCCAACCCTGGCGCGAGGGCTGGGGACGGCACGTGCTGGTGGGGCACCACCAGCCACCGCTCACACACACCCTCAGGGATTCCAGCTCCAATTCACCTGTATGATGGGGCAACAAGGAGAAGTCTAGAAGGAGCAAGCCAGCACGGGCCGTCCACGGCTGCTCCCTTCTCACGGGGAGGCCCTGGGCCCAGCTGGCCCCTCTCCTCCAGCCCAGCTCTCCACCCAGGGTGAGCACAGAGCTCTTTATTGTTGGAGGACACATGTTTTCTCTAACTAAGACACACTGACACACACGGGCATGCATTCACAGAACAGCTTCCCCGCCACACCCCCTCCCCCACCCCTTGGCAGAGAGCAGGTGCCCCTCAGACCACCACACTGGGGAACATGTGGACAGCAGGGTGCTATCTGGCTCCCATGCTCTTGCCTCTGTTGGGCATCGGTTATGGATTGTCCAGTGATGCCCTCTCTGGGCACCTGAGTCCAGCCACAGCTGAAGTTCCAGGGGGCTTCAGAAGGGGTTCTCAGCCAATCCAGGGAGGCCGCCAGCCAAGTGGGTCTCCGCAGAGGGGTCCTGGCTAGTCCTGTTGCTGCCACCGCCCCTTGAGAGCAGCAGCTTCTCACTGGGGGGGCCGCCAGTGGGCCTGGCCGTGTGGCTGCCGACACGGCACTCCTCCTGCAGTGCTTTGCCCTCGCGCCAGCGGTGCCAGCGCCGCAGCAACTCCGACTGCACCTGGGGTGGGCACGCGGGTCGGGCCAGTCCCGGGGCCTGCCCGTGCCACCCTGTCAGGATCCCCAACCCCCTGGCCTTGAAGGGCTATGTGGCGCCCTGGGTGTGGAGCCAGGCAGGCTCTGTCACCACAGAACGCTGGGGTCTGGGAACACCTGGGGACCCCCTCACCCTCAGGTGCAGTCCCTGAGGACGGGCTGAGGCTGATCCATCTCAGCAGGCCTGACACCCAGTGTCCTGGAAACTGAGCCCAGTAAGTGCAGGTGGACACGAAGGGCTCACACCCGAGGGGTGGAGCCAGAGTGTCTACACTCCCCCTGACCCCAACCCCAGCGCTGGTTCCAGACCCCCCCCCCCCCCCCCCCCCCACAATTTTTTTTTTTTTTTTTTTTTTTACGATCCTTGAGAGCAGCGCTCCCCAACCTTTCTGGCACCAGGGATCGGTTTTCGTGGAAGACACTTTCTCCGCAGATTCGGTGGCGGGGCGGGAGGGCGTAGGGGATGGTTCAGGGGTAACGCCCGCGGTGAGAAGCTGCCGATGAAGCTTCACGCGCGCGCCCGCCCGCCGCTCACCTCCTGCTGTGCGACCCGGTTCCCAACAGGCCGTGGACCCGGGAGCAGTCCGCAGCCTGAGGGTTGGGGACCCCTGCTTTGGAGCATTTCAGTGTTTGGATCCTGGGATCCTAGAAGTAGAGCCCAGCACGCTCTTGGAATCAAATGCTAGGGAACCTGAATGCCAAGTGACCAGACCCAGCCTTGACCATACGAACTGGGTGACTTTAGCAAGTAAGTAACTTCATCTCTTTGGTCCTCCCCTTCCTCTTTCGGGTAATTGAGGGCATTTAACTACATGACCAGAAGGGTTCCTTCCAATTTCTTGATGAAACCTACCGTCTCAGCATGAACCAGTGTGTGTGGCACTCCATCTTTCACCACTATTAGAATGCTGTCCAACTGAACCCGGCCTTCTGACATGCCCTCTTAGGAGCAAATTTCACTAGCATGCATGCTTCCAACCATCCACCCATCCATCCATAAATAAGCACTCAATGCATTCAATGACCTGCTCCAACTCAACACTGGACGTAAACTGGGAACAAGACAGACACAGCGTTGGCCCCACTGTAGCCCATGGTTCACTGGGAGGAGAGATCTTAAACATTAGCTTGCACCGTAATGCACTGAGTGCTAATGCGAAGGGAAGTCCAGGAATACACAGGAAGACCGCCCATCCACTGTGGACAGTCAAGGAAGCTTCTGGGAACACACCATGTTTAAGTGAAGCCCAGAGGATGTCTACGAGTGTGGCCGCTCCGAAGAAGAGGTTGCTCTAAGCAGAGGCCAAAGAGCTGGAGTCTGACGGGCATGGACTTCAGGGCAGGGTCAGCAGGAGATTTTACAGAAAAACACTAAATAGAGTCAGCCTGGCAGGGACCATATATCATGCATATGGCAGAACCATAATTTTTGTTAACAAATCCCAGTGCTTTACACCGTCCAGCTCAGTAATTCCTGAGGAGCTGATGCTACACCAGCTTCGCATTCCGGGGAGGGAAGTGCTCCTCTCTTGGGGCCACGCTGGCCACTTTGCTCCTCCCCGGCCCCAAGCACACTCTGCCTCAGGGCTCGGGGTTTCCCTTCCCTTTGCAGTGGATGGGCTTTTCCTGGCTCTCTGTGTGGCACCCCCGCCACCCCGCACCTACCTCCTTGTTGAGGAAACAGTAGAGAACAGCCACCAGCAGGCCCTGGAGAGATGGGGGAGGTGAGGGCTGCACCCAGGCTGGCCTGGGCGTTGGGCAGTTGGTTAAGGGGCGGGCAGGCACCTGGAAGGAGCTGAGGAAGAGGTCAAAGAAGAGCTTGGCGGAGCGCAGGGTGCCCTGGGCGTGCTCGTCGGTCACGAAGGCGAACACCACCTCGTGGACCCCCAGCAGGGGGATGAGGGTCAGCGTGGACTTGGCCAGCCTGCGGGGCAGAGACTGAGCCCCCAGCCCAGCACCCGCTGGGGCTCTGGTGCCCCACCCCCACCTACACTCCCTCTGGCGCCCGGGGGTCCGCAAGCCGCCTGGCGCCCTCCCACTCCCAACGCCCACACCCACGGGCACCTGCAGTCAGTGTAGCGCGTCTGGTGGGCTTGCAGCTTGGCCGCCAGGAGGTGCAGGATGCGGGTGAAGATGAAGAAGTTGATCTGTGCGGGGTGGGGGCACAGCTCAGGGCAGCTCTTGGCCCCCCCCCCCCCCCCCCCCCC